GTTCACAGTTCACAGGGACAGAAAACTGAATGAACTTTTGAAGTGATCAGAGGTAGGTTTATGCTCAAAGAGACCTGGGGGATGAGAGGATAGGACCTGCCAGGGAGAACAGGGAGGGTAGAGGTCCCTTGTGATTATTTAGGCAATCATTCTTGAGCCTTGGTTGGGCATGACGGCTCACATCCTTAATCCCAGCACTCCAGAGGCAGAGACAGGTGATAGTTCCAGGCCAGTCTGGTCTACATAGAGAGATTTACAGAGTTCCAGGGCTGCACAGGGAGATCCACTCACATGCACATAGCCACACATGGGCATTTGTAATTATTAATGATAACAATAATAATAAAAAGTTAGGCACAGAATTCTGGGTATCTATTAGGGTAGCAATTCTCAGGGATCAAGTGACCCTTACACAGGGGTTATCTAAGACCATCAGAAAACACAGATATTTACATTACAATTCATAACAGTAGCAAAATTACAGCTATGAAGTAGCAATGAAAATAATTTCATGGTTAGGGGTCACCACAACATGAGGAACTGAATTAAAGGGTCGCAGCATTAAGAAGGTTGAGAACCACTGTATTAGGAGCTCGGAAAATGAGATATGGGTCAAAGTCTACCTAGGCAAGAGGATAGCAGAGCAGAAGGGCAAGGTGATGAGACTCCTAGGCACCTAGTCTCTTAGATCAAGAGTCAGGCTGTCCTGCATCCTTCTCCCAAAAGAACATTGATGGAAAATTTAAAAGGCCAGGTCATAAATCCAGGAGATGAACTCCTTGGAGCATGACGTATTCACTCTTCATCGCCAACCCCATCACCATACCCCAGCTCCCCAACTCTGCCCAACTACTGCTTGATCACCTCAAAATAATTGCTGTCCTTGGTCAGGGGTCGAGACGCCACATAGCAGCCAACTTCACCAGAATTTCCATGGTAACTAAAGGAATATGGAAAAATTCTATGAGCAGGCAAGGCCAGGGGTTGGGAGGAAGCCCTAATACTCCAAACCCCAACCTTGTGAGGGTTAGCACAGAGAACTCATCAAGGTACACTTCAGAAAATCAGCACATAGCCAGGCATGGTGGCACACACCTTTAATCCCAGCCCTTGGAAAGCTGTAGTAGGATGATCTATGAGTTTGAAGCTAGCCTGGTCTACACAGTGAGTTCCAGAACAGTCAGGACTACACAGAGAAACCATGTTTTGGGGGTGGAGGGACAGAGAGAGAGAATAAGGGAATGAAGGAAGGGAAGAGAAGGGAAGGGAAGGGAAGGGAAGGGAAGGGAAGGGAAGAGAAATCTCTGTGCGCACACACACATAAGGTACTTAAGGTCACCCACTCTTCCCACTGCTTCTAGCTAAGGCCCAATCCACCCTAGATCAATATGATCTACTTTCTTCATTTTCAGAAGACAAAGAATATACAACAGCCTTCCTTAATTGGGTTTTAGGGGTCCCACAGTCTTCTAACCTCAATCCCTCACTCATGCTGTAACTTTGGCCTTGCCTTCAACCCTATCCTCAGTGGAGCTAGAGAACAGCTGATCTCTGCCCTTTGTCAAAGGACTTCAGACTAGAAGAGTCACTCAGTCCCCATGTTTCAGCTTTCTTCCCCTCAGGCTAAATAATGCTACTTCCTTTCCCCTTTAGATGATAACTTTGAGATAGGCAGAAAGGAGTCAGGGAAGGTTCAAAACAAAAGAGAAAAATACAAAGCAAAGGGCTAAAAAGATACAGAGTGGGTGATTATAGGTCTGGCACTCCCCAGGCACTCCCTGCTGAACTCAGTCTTTGGAATACAGACAAAAGGGGACTCAGACCACACAGATTCACTATCGTGGCAGATCTTGGCAGCCTCCTACACCCTGCCATGGGAACTTCCAAATCAGAACACAGCCTTTCTGGATTCTTTCCTTCACAGACCAGAAGATGGTGAGCCAAGATGGCTGAGGTGGTACATGCCTTTTGGGAAGCTGAGAAGGAGGACTGCAAATTTTAGGACAGCCTGCCTGCCTCAAAAACAAAACACAGACTGGTAAGATGGCTAAGTGTGTATAAAGCACTTGCTTAATGACCAGAGTCAGATTGCTAGGTCCCACCTGATCTAAGAAGACCAACCTCCTCAAGTAGTTCTTTAACAACCATCCCCCAAGACACACACCAAATAAATAAATAAATAAATAAATAAATAAATAAATAAATAAATAAGGCAACCTGAGTGACCCAGTGATAAGAGGCAGAAAGAAAGACATAAAGGCCACCAGGGGTCCCTTCACAGTGTAGCATACACAGTGTCCTGGTTAATACCAGGAAAGGACTGGACAAGGACAATGTGGAACCATTTCCCTACACTCACCTCAAAGTGTCACCATCCACAAGAATATGTTTGAACCTCTCCTGATATCGGAAAGCCCGAACCTCTCGAATCTCCCGAATCCTCCTTCTCCAATTCAGAAACCGGTAGTGCAAGTTGAGGTCATCCATCTTGTTCATGAGAACAAACCTATGAGAAGAGAAATGACTGAGAAGGAAGTGGAGCTCAGCACAGAGTACCTCAAGCCTGCTCAATCTTGAATGTGCAGAGTGTTCCAGATGTCCAGATGCATCTCAATAACTCCAGCCTCAGCCACTCAGTCAATAGATATGCACTGTCATCGAAGCTAGGAACAAAGCTATGAGCAAGACAGATGGGGTTCATGATCTTGTAGAGTCTCCAGTCTCATTAGGCATGAGGAAGCATAGCAGATAATAAGCACAAATGAACATTTTAGCCATTGGAAGCAAAAAAAAGAAAAAAAAACAGATGTAACAGTGGACAAGGACAGTCTTAGAGGCACAGGATGTTGGCTGTACAGAGGCAGTCAACATGAGAGTACAACAAAAATCATTCCAGGCAGAGGAACAGTCAAGGCACAGTCCTTGGGTAGAAGAAAGGTGTCATGGTAGAGAAAGACAGAAGGTCAGAGTGGCTGTTATATATGGAAGGTGAATAAGAATAGGATAAGGCAAGAGACTATCCAGTCAGGAGTTTAAATTTTATTTCAAGGGTATCGAGAAACCTCTGTGGAATTTTAAGCAAGAAATGGTATGATTTTAAAATATATCAAATCTTGTTGGGTATGGTGCTACTAGTTTTTAATCCTGGAAAATTTTAAACTTCTTTATTATTTTGTTTTTGCTTTCAACTTCTTTATTATTTTTATGTGTATGGGTGTTTTCCTGCATGTATGTCTACGCATACTGTATATGTTTGGTGCCTTTAGAGACCAGAAGAGGGCATCATATCTCCTAGAATTGTAGTTACAGACAGCTGTGAGCTACCATGTGGGTGCTGGGAATTGAATCCTAGATCCTCTGGGAGAGAAGCCAGTGCTTTTTCTGGCGAGGGAGAGGGGGATTTCAAAACAGGGTTTCTCTTTGTAGCCCTCCCTGTCCTGGAACTTTGTAGACCAGGCTGACCTCAAACTCAGAGATCCACCTGCCTCTGTCTCCCAAATTCTGGGATTAAAGGCACACACCACCACTACAACCAGGCATAAAGCTAGTGCTTTTTGTTTGTTTTGTTTTGTTTTTGAGACAAGGTGTCTCCATTTAGTCCTGGCTGTCCTGGAACTCACTCTGTAGACCAGAGTGGCCTCAAACTCACAGAGATCCTGGAAAGGCATGTGCCACCATGCCCAGCAAGCCAGTGTTCTTAACCACCAAGCCATCTCTCCTGCCCATAATACCAGCACTTTTTTTTTTTTTTTTTGAGTTAGCCCTGGCTGTCCTGGAACACGCTCTGTAGACCAGGCTGGCTGCCAACTTGCAGAAACCCCCTGCCTCCTGAGTGCTGGGATTAAAGTCATGTACCACCAGCACCTGGCAATCATTTCTAGCACTTTTAATTCCAGGCAGAGGCAAATAGATCTCTGAGTTCTAGAACAGCCTGGTCTACATAGTGTGTGCTGGGCCAGCCAAGGCTATAGAGTGAGGCCTTGTCTCAAACAAAAGAAAAAAGAGCTTATCAGATCTTAACTCTCATTTCCAAGTGTAATTGTGACAGCAGTTCAAGAGACGGCAGACACCAAAAGGAGAAAAGGAATGGAATGGGGACTCTTTGGCATTTAGACAACCCTCAAGGCAAATGACTGACTGAATAAAATTTTCCAGAGAGCCAAAAGTGGGAAAACGATGAAGCAATCTTTTCTTCTTCCCAGTCCCCAAACACCTGGCACAGTACCCCACCCTCAACACACACAGCAGGTGCTTAGCAAACCTAGGCTAAGCTGAGTTCGACTCAAGTGCGCACACCAGGACTCTTCTGAAGGAGCTACAGACCACCACATGCTCCAGAGGAAGACAACTGTGGCACTGCACCAGCATTCCCCTCCTGGGCCCTGGGCCAGGACTTGAACCCAGGCAGCAGCTGGAGCCCCAGACTTGAAGACACCTGATCTTCGAGAACCCAGCAGCCTCAGCACCGACCAGCAGCAGCATCGGCGCTGGGTGCCTCCCCCCCGCCCCGCGCAGCCTCAGCACCATCGGGTCACTCAGATGAGACCCGGGGGCCAGCGGGCCTTCACCTGTCAATGCGGCTACGCCCGGTCTCCACAGGCCCCGCACTAGGGGAGGGTGCGCGCCGGGAGGACCACTAGTGACCAGAACCCCAGGCCCCGCCCCTGAGCCGGGAGCCGTCTTCCAGGACCCCCGCCTCGAGCTCTGCAGAGACCGAGGCCTCCGGGACCCCGCCCCCGATCCCCGCCTACCGGGGCCGCCGCGTCCTCCTCATCCATAGGCCTCTCAGCTCCGCGCTGTAGCTCTTCGGCCGCCGCCACCACACACATCCGGGTCCCCGCCCTTCCTATGCTCCGCGAGGCCCGCCCCCTACGCCGAATCCGCCCAATCGTCAGCGGTGTTTGCAGATGGGCACCCACATCAGCCAATCGCAGGGCAGTAGCGGTGTGGGGCGCGGCCCGGTGAGCCGGGTACCTAACACTCGCCGGCGTCTGAGGAACCTTGGTGTCGGGAGGGTGGGGGAGGCGACGTGGCGGCACGGACGCCACCGTGGGCGCCAGGAGCTCGGGGAGGCGGTCAAGGGGCGGCTCCCTTGGGGCGGAGCGGGTCACTGTGCACGCGCAAGCATCACAGTAGTAGAGCAAGGAGTGATGCTAAAAGCCTTACTGGAATGTCCTTTTGATCCACGTAACAGCCTTGGGGGGGGGAGGGGGATCTTAAAATTATCTCCTTTTTACGCGTGAGGAACCAGAGGCTGAGCTCCACAGCGGTCGCACTCAGCTGATTCCTTGTGTTTTCTTCTTTCCAGAGCACCACTTTGCATCACATTCGTTCATTCCAGGAAGGACGTTCCAGAACAGGAGAGAACTTCAGTTGCAAAAAGCACAGTGAGATGATACCCAGTGCTGTTTGGGAACAGAGTGCTTGGTGGGAAAGTTAGGTCAGGTCAGAATATCCTGCCCTTGGGAAAAATTGGGCGTGACTTCCATGTCTTTTGTTTTGTTTTGTTTGTTTTTCGAGACAGGGTTTCTCTGTGGCTTTGGAGGCTGTCTTGGAACTAACTCTTGTCTGGTCTCGAACTTACAGAGATCCACCTGCCTCTGCCTCCCGAGTGCTGGGACTAAAGGCGTGCGCCACCACCACCTGGTGACTTACATGTCTTGTCCCAAGACTGAATATTCTTTCCAGATAGACTCACCCTGTCTTGAGTACCCTGTGTCAGAAACATGAACAAACATATTTGTGTCTTTCCACATCTGAATTTATTGAGTAACAATAAATTAACAAGCTATCTGGGTCTCCTTGGCCACAATTAGCTAATGAGTCCTGATTTACATGAACAACTGGCTTTTAGCAAGCACAGGTTCTTTTACTTCAATATTAATCACTAACTCTTGGGTCACACATTACACTTCATGTGTATACATATGTAGTTTATACTGTGGCTACAAAGGGGTTAAAGAAACCACAGCATAATTCAAGAGTTCAGAGGCCTTACAGAGACAGAGCCAATAGGTTAAGGCAAAGTTACTGCAACCAGAGAACAAATCCAGCTAGAGAGCTGCTAGAGATGCAGCCTGGAAGGCAGCCACAGCTGCTGCTTCAGAGCCAAGCAGCAGGTCACAGGGCTGAGTCCAGCATCAGAGGCAAAATACAGGACTGGTTATGGGTGAATTGACGGGCAGACGGTAATCTAAGTAGGTTTCATCAGCAGTGGACATGAGCTGAGTGAGCTGAAGTCCCAGAGACAGTCAGGATTTCTCTGTTGTCCTTTGAGGCACACACACAGGGTGGCCAGTGGGGTGGGGACCATTGTCATCACAGTGTTAAATGTCCTCCTCATTGTGGGGTCCAACTGAGGGTGTTGCACCCTTTCTAGGATTGATAAGTTCTTGAGCCTGCTGATACCTACTGGGCATATGTTCTCATCTATTGCACTTGGATACATTTATAGGGTGGTACATTTTTACTTTTTAAAAATCAATTTATTTTATGTGCTTTGCCTGCATATATATCTGTGCACCGTGTGTGAGAGTTACAGTTTGTAAGCTGCTGTGTGGATTCTGGGTATTGAACCTTGGTCCTCTGGAAGAGCCATCTCTCCAGCACAGCCTTTCACTTAGGAATACATTATCAGTCTAGGTCTCATGGGTGGTGCTAGTGGTGTGTATGTACATAGTCATCCTACCTCTGCAATCAAACAAGAGCCAAATACTACTTGTAGGGGTGCAAGACAAAGCCTGAAAGCCACTGTTTCACACAATAGACAATAACTTTAAGGCAATCACAGCCTGATCCCAATGCCCTCTTCTTCAGTACCTTGTTTATTCACTTTTTAAAATGTCAGGTGTGGTGAAATGCACCTTTTTGTTAAATATTTACTTATTTGTTATTGGAGGTAGGTGGGAATACATGCCTGACATGGCCTAAGTGTATAGCTCAGGGGACAACTTGGTTCTTTCCTTATATCCAGGTGGGTCCTAGGGATTAACTCAGGTCTTCAGGTTTGGCAACAAATGCCTTTACCCTCTGAGTCATGTCACCAGACCCAGCACCTCATTTATTAAAGTCAATTGTGTGTGTTGTTGTGTTTCATCTCCTTTAGAGCTCAGACTAATCCCATCTTAGTCTAACTAGATACTCTAATGTGCTGGGTGGGCAGAGGACTAGGGATGTAGCTCAGCTGGTAGAGCACTTACCGTCACTTCCCAGCACTTACCCAATGCCCAGTGGGGGGTGCTACTTTTGTTTATGCTGCATTTGTTTAATTATATAAAGATGTGTTGCATCTGTTTCACCTTGCCTGCCTAAGACACCTGAGTGGTCTAATAAAGAGCTGGATAACCAATTGGTAGGCAGAGAAAGGAGAGGCCGGACTGACAGGCAGAGAGAATAAATAGAGGAGAAATCTAGGCTGGAAAAGGGAAGAATGGGAGGAGAAGAGAAAAAGAGAGGCACCTGGGGCAAGAAGCCAGGCAGACTTAGAGAAGCCCTGAAAGTAAAATATACAAATGTAAGAAAGTAATAAGCCCCAAGGCAAAAGGTAGATAAAAAGAAACAGGTTAAGTTAAAAGAGCTAGCCAGAGCCAGGCAGTTGTAGCCCACGCCTTTAGCCTTTCATCCCACCACTTGGGAGGCAGAGGCAGGAGGACCTCTCTTGAGTTCAAGGCCAGCTTGGTCTACAGAGCAAGTTGCAGGACAGCCAGGACTGTTACAAAGAGAAACCCTGTCTCAAAAAACAAAAACAGAAAAAGGCAAATAAGGGCTACAGAGATGACTAAGAGCACTATGGTAGGATATTATCTTAAGGTGTGAGACTTTTGTTTTTGCTGCATTTGTTTAACTCTGTGAGGCTGTGATTCTTTTCCTGTCTAAAACATCTGATAATCTAATAGAGCTGAAAAGCCAATATCGAGGCAGGTCCAAGGACAGGCGAGGCTGGCAGAGAGTATAAATAGAAGGAGAACCCAGGAAGAAGAGCAGCAAGGGAACAAGAGAGGAAGGAGGAGGACTTCGGGGCCAGCCACCCAGCTACACAGCTAGGAATAGAGAAAAGCCCCAAGGCCAAACCGGCTAGAAACAAGCCAAGCTAAGGACAGGCACTCATAACTAAGAATAAGCCTCTATGTGTGATTTATTTGGGAGCTGGGTGGTGGGCACCTCAAAAAGACTAAAGAGCCAAAAGAGCAAAAACATTGTACAACAAGCACTGACTTCTCTTCCAGAGAACCTGGGTTCAATTCTCAGCACCCATATGGCAGCTCACAACTGTCTGTAACTCCAGTTCTAGGGGATCTGATACCTGACACAGACACCAATGCACATAAAACAAAGTTAAAAAGTAAAATAAAAAGAATGGCAAATGAGAGCTGAGATCTGTGGTGAGGGGATATGTATGGAGTACCCCCCTCCCAAAGCTTTTGAGGAAGAGACCATTACTTAACCAGCACAGTGTTTCATTAGAACAGGTTGAAGGTTGTGGGAGGCCAGATGTCAGGAAACAGGCTGGACATCGCTACAGTTATCACCACAGGCCTCTCCAGCCAGACCTATGGTCTTTCCCTGTACTTCCTCTCTGAGTCTTCCCAGCCCAGATATGCAGCCTTCTTGTCAAACTTAAAGCCCAAAATAGTACAGGCTGTCCTCTGGCTCTACCACATGTTATCAAAAGGAAGCCAGTGCCTAGGATGCATGGGACTTGTGAGATTCAAGTTCAGTGATTAGAAGTGTGTGTTGTGTATCAAGAGTCCCTACCAAATTTATGGACAACCCTACATCATAGGCCAAGACTAATCTGTATCAGCCCTGGTTCCAGTTCCTCAGCAAAGATTCTCATGCATACTCCTACACCATGTGCTCCGCAGTCTCTTCTCTGAGTGCTTAGACAGATGACATCCCAAAAAGGAGGAAAAGCAAAAGTCAAGGACCTCTGTCTTCGAGGAGACTTGTGCCCAGGCAGGAATGGCAATCTCTGAGCATTCATACTGGAAGGATGAGGAAAGGGGTTGTTTCCTGCCAGGATAAGTGCATTCCTGTATTGTGTCATCCTGCAGAGAGGGACCAAGAGAGCCCTTGGAACAGAGACCCACAGGGAGGGGAAGTGAGTAGGGGTAGGCTGGAGTGGCTGGCATTAGCGATTTCTCTACAAGGGTGGAGAACCACTTCTTCAAAAGACCCACTGGGACCCCAGCAAGAAGCCATCTTCCTTCTTCCCAACTTCCTATAGGCTTTTCAGTCGTTTTCAGAAGCAGCAAACAGGAGTCCTTAAGAAAGGCCAGAAGCATTTGCAGTGGAAAAAGTAAATAAATAGGGATAAAGGGTTTGGACAGGAACCACGCTCCCCATCTGGGGTCAAAACACAGAGAGAAGTCCTGCTCCAGGGCCTTGGTAGAAAGAAGATAGCTGTCACTTTTTCCTGCCTGTTCAATCTGTAGCCGTATCTCCTGGCAACAGGAAATCATCACTTTCCAAAAGCTAAAATCTGAGAGTAGCCACGGGGCAGTTCTTTTTGTTTTGTTTTTGCTTAAAAAGCTCAGGAAGCCCTTGCTGACATTCTTGCTTGGGGGCCCAGAATTTAAACTTAGTCACTGTCCGGAGCCCTTGTTTTAGGAAAGAATGAGATTGCTGTTGCATAACTTGGAATTGTACTGTCGGGGTGGGGTGGGGTGTAGCAATCCCACTTCTTCCTTGAGACTGTCAGGGAGTGCTGGGGACTTGCTCACCCCTGCCTAGGGTAGAACTATGCCTAGGGGTGAACAGGCACTGCCGTGGATGGGTCCACTGGAGGTGGCCAGGCAAATGATCCTAGAAGTACTGAAATTCTCAGGCCAGTCCCTTCCCAAACCTTGTGGGCACAGAACAATCTGAGAATTCCAGAAGACCAAGGAATGACTAGAGAAAGGAGAAAGCTTGAGGAAAGAGAAATAATAGAGGGACAACTGTCCCCCAAAACATCTAGAATACGATCACCTACTTTTACTTTACTCACACCCTCCAGGAGTTCAAGACCCCCTTTCCCTGCCACTTTTCCCTTGGCGCTCAGAGGCTCTCAGCAATACTAGGGTTCCTACAATTTACTCAAGGCGCATTCCTGGTCCTTTCCTCATTTCACCGCTGCTCCCTCAACCTTTTTTGTTATCTTCCCACAGACTAGATTCTGTTTTGTTTTGAGACCTGGAGACTTTTATTTTGCCTCTTCTCCACATTATTCTCTCCTCTCTCTGGGTCTGCTCTTGCCCCTGGTAGGAGCTTCTGCCCAGATGCCAATTACATCTCTCCTAGTAGCGTTTACCATCCATCCTCTCCACCAGTTTCCTTCTCGGTTCACATTTAGCCCCCCACCCCTTTTCATCTGCAGGAGTACCTACGGGTCCTTCACTTTCCTCATTTCAAATACATGCATGCTAACTGGATTTCACTGTCCTTCCCTTCACGCCTCCCTATCCCACAGTCCCCTTTAGCCAGATGTACAGCTCCCAAATTCCGGGCGAGATTCCCAGGAACAAAGCAAGAAAAAAAAATATCAGAACAATTTGGGAAGTAAACAGCTGAGAAGAAGTAGGGAGGGAAAAGCCTAGCGGACCCAGGTGGGTGGCCCTCCAGTCCACCCAGTTTAGGGAATGCCCCTGCCCCTTCCCCTCCCCCTTCACCTGGGTTTTAAGGGAGGGGCTTTGAAGAGCTGCTGGAGCAGCAGTCCGCAGCAGCTGCACTACACTCTCTGGAAGGAGTGCACTGGGCAAAAACTCGGACCATGACCCGGGACAGGCTGCCCCCTCTGCCGCTGCTGCTGATGCTAACTCTGTTGCTCGCTGCGAGCCCAGGGTCCGCCTTAACGCGGTGTCCCGGCTGCGGGCCAGGGGTGCAAAGCAGCTGTCGCGGGAGCTGCCTGGAGGAGGAAGACGCGGGGTTGCCTGCAGAGGGTTGTGCAGAAGCCGGGGGCTGTCTCAGGAGAGAGGGGCAACCGTGCGGGGTCTACATCCCTAAGTGTGCCCCAGGACTGCAGTGCCAACCACGAGAGAATGAAGAGGCACCTTTGCGGGCGCTGTTGATGGGCCAGGGCCGCTGTCACCGCGCCAGGGGGCCGTCGGGTGAGTTCATGTCCCACACCGTCTTCCATCTGCCCACCTGAGATAAGAGAAATTAGTCTCTCCTGGCAGGAATCTGGATCGATTCCAGTGAGCAGTTTCTTCGAGCCTCTGGGACCGACCCATTAATTCCTCCCAAGCTTTGAGTGGACCGCGAAGAGGAAAGATCAGGGAAAAACTATGAGGCTGCGTGAGGCTAGTGGCACCTGAGAATAAGAAAGGGGGATGTCCGGGCTCTCCACTCTCCCTTTCCCCTATTTATTTTCTCCTAAGGGAAAGGGACATATATAGAAGGAGGATGGAGAGTTTTAGTTTTAGCTATCCCTTGTACGCTGCAGGCTCATCTCCATCACTCCAGTGGCCCACACTGGAGACAGGACCTGGATTCCATATGGAGGAGGAGGAAAGGGAACCTCAGACTTCAGTAGCACACAGAGAAAAATGTCTCCTGCTCCCCCTTTCAGTGCCAGTGTTGGAAGCACCTGATCCCTGCAGTCTAGAAGATACTGAGTAGTATATCAGGCTAGACCGGACAGTGGGCAGGGCCTGGAGGGCCTGGGGAGAGCCAAAGAGGTGGGGAAAGAAGGATTCTGCCAAATCAGGCTTATTATTATTTAGACCTGGTCAGAACTGGATGCCCTCCCTGTCCCACCCAACCCCAGGGATGAGCCCATGAGACTGAATCATTGGGTGGGTGGGACAAGAGTGAGTCAGCACCCAAAAGATGAGGAGGCAACTGGAAGCTGGATGATAGTAAGAATTCTTGGTTTTTCCATAGAAAGGGATGAGAAGTGAACTTGAATCACTGGGCATGGTGTTGCATGCCTGTAATTCCAGCACGTAGGAGGTGGAGGCAAGAAGACCAGTTTAGAAGCATCCTTGGCTGTGCAATATCAGGCCAGCCTAAACTACATGAAACCCTATCCCAATCATGCATATGCGATCATACATACACACACACACACACACACACACACACACACACACACGTGCACACCCAAAAGTGCACACACACACACTAGCAGGGAGGGTTTGAGTCTGATTCTCTAGTGTCAGAGCTCAGGCTTCTAGGATTCTTCTTAGAAGGTGTGTTTTGGTTGGGAAAGGCAGTTTGAAGCATCATCACAGTTTGGCACTAAATGCAGGGAGAGAGGCACAAGATCTGAGGAAGATGTGGCACTCAGGGGATAAGGGTTAAGACAACTGCAGAGGAGAGGGAGTTTTTTTTTTTTTTTTTTTTAAAGTTTAAAGGTATGAGAGTTTATCTCTTGACATGTTGCCATCCTTTCCCTAGCCTCTCCCTAGCCCTGGCTCACTTCTGTCATCCCTTCCCAGTACTGAACTCTCCCCAGAGCACCTAGAAACTCTCCAAAACCAGGCACAACCTGCAGGTTGAAAACCTCTTATTTCCTGCCCCTTTGCAGCCTTCAATACATCCTGGTTAAGGGTTGAATCCAGATGCTTCTGGACCACTAGGGTTGAACTGGGACAAAAAGGAAGAGTCCCTATGCAAAGCCCTTAAAATAACTATTTTAGGCCTGGGAGGAGCAGACTGAGTCACTGGAGGGGTCACAACAGGGGCACACATTCCATTGGGTCCTGAATGACTCTCTCTCTCTCTCTCTCTCTCTCTCTCTCTCTCTCCCCTCTCTCACAGCTTCCTGGCTTGGTGTGCCCTCTTCTGGCCTCTAGTGGAATAGGCAAGTCTTCTCACAGGAAGCCTAAAGACTAGAAAAAAAACAATAGTGTTTTGTGTTCACTCTGAGTTTTTGCTTTCCAAACTGTTCTCCTTTATAAGGCAGGTGGATCTCTGTGAGTTTGAGGCCAGCCTGGTCTACAGAGCTAGTTCCAGAACAGCCAAGCCTACACAGAGAAACCCTGTGTGTGTATGGGAGGGGGGGAGTGGGGATGGGGGAGCGGTTGCTCAGGGAAATATTATCTGTAGTATTTTATTTTTATTTCACATGTGTGGGTGTTTTGCCTGCATGTGTGTCTCTATACCACATCGGTGCCAAAAGGGGGCTGGATCCGCTGCTGCTGGAGTCACAGACAGCTGTTGTGAGACACCATGTTGGGAATTAGAAGAGTTGAACAGTCTCTCCAGCCCCATGTTAAATAGACCAGACTGGACTTGAGATTGTAGCAATCCTCTTGCCTAAGCCTCCCAAGTGCTTAGATTATAGGTACACCACCATACTCAATAGTATAATTATTTGTCAGAGGAAGAAACAGCAGCCAGGATGAGGCTAGGCAAAATCTGGCTACTTTTAGTTCATAAAGCCATCAGTTGCTCTCACTTTAACCAGTAGAGATGGACCAAGGCTCATGTGGAGCTAGTCTTTGGTCTTGACAGATTTCTGATTTCTTCTCCCATTCTTCTTATGGCCACAGAGGAGACAACAAAGGAAAGTAAACCCCATGGAGGTGCCTCCCGCCAACGTGACACAAGTCACAGAGACCAGCAGAAGAATCCAGGGACCTCCACCACCCCCATAAGGCCCAATCCAGGGGGTGTTCATGACACTGAGATGGTTCGTGCAGGGTTTGTATGGAGGCTGAGGGTTGGAGACTTCCACTGGAGACAGCTCCACGGACCAGGCAGGCTCCTGGAATTCTGAGTACCACCCCTATCCACCCCTGTTCCTCTCCAGGGCCCTTGCCGAAGACACTTGGATTCAGTACTGCAGGGCCTCCAGACTGAGATCTTCCGAGGGGGTGCGCACGGACTCTACATGCCCAATTGTGACCTCAGAGGCTTCTACAGAAAGCAGCAGGTGAGAAGAGGCCTCCTCTCCTCTTTGCAAATTCCCTGCCAGGACATGAGAAAGGGTGCTTATCAAGCTGCAAAAAAAGATGCAAAAAGGCTACTGGGTGTGTTGGTGCTTGCTGGGAGGACAGGAGCAAGTCCCTGTCTCAAAAACAAACACACAAAACACACAGGGCAGACACACAAACTACCTCCCCTGCCTTTCAGGGTCTTCCAATTTAAAACCCACATAGACATGAAAAGAGTCAGGAAGATAATTAGAAGTTTAAGGCCCACCTGACCTACAAACTTAGTGAGCCTCTGTCTCAAAATAAAAAGTAAAAACGAGAAGTTGTTTATAGTCCACTGGTAAAGCTTTGCTTAGCAATGCCCTGGGCTCAATCTCTAGTATGATTTGAATGAATGAATGAATGAATGAATGAATGAATGAATGAAAGGCCAACCATTTCAGTAGAAGATTCCAAGTCACCTCTAGGCAGTGGCCTTGCAATGGCTCTCAAAGGAAGACCCTGGGAATCTTCTGGAGGTGTATTAGCTGGTGGAAACACACACACACACACACACACACACACACACACACACACACGACCCAATCTGCAGTTTCTGACTCAGCCTTCTGGGCTAGGATGAGAACACCCATTTCTAACACAAAAGTGATGATGCAGGCGCTGTTGATTTGGTGGGAACTGCATTTTGAAAAGTATTGTTCTGGTTTACCAGGGTGGGCCCTATTTAGTAGGTCAAGGGACCAAAAACTCTCAGATGTTCCTCCTTGAAGCCTAGACCTCACCCTGATCTTCGCCTCTCTCCTCAGTGTCGGTCCTCTCAGGGGAATCGCCGTGGACCTTGCTGGTGTGTGGATCCGATGGGCCGGCCCTTGCCAGTGTCTCCAGATGGCCATGGAAGCTCACAGTGCTCTGGCAAGAGCAGTGGCTAAAGCAGGGTGGGGAGCCTCCAGGATACTGTCAAGAGTGCAGGGCTGTCATCTGAGCTATGTGTAGAGTGATGAGTCACCAGGGGCTTTGTGCCCCATGTCCTACCTTCAGGCCCTGTCCCATTGTTCCCCTCACCCTTGGGCCTTTACACATTTAGTTAGAAAAATTGTTATTGGCTTCGGGTACTAATAAAGCTGTGTCGGGGGTCTCTGCTTTATTTCTTTGTGTCCATCCCTTACAGCTCTGGAGCCCCAGGCTCTCTGTCTACCATCACTCATAGTAGTCCTACCTTTCTTTTTTTATTTTATTTTATTTTATTAGTTCAAATTAGGAACAAGCTTCTTCAGATGTCAATCCCTTCTCCCTCTCCCTCCCATCCCCCCAACATCTCACCTGCCCCTAGCCATCCCCCCTCCACTCCCCAGGCAGGGTAAGGCCCTCAAAAGGGGCTCCCCAAAGTCTACCACATCATCCTGGGCCAGGCCTAGGCCCTTCCACATAGTCCTACCTTTCTAGTCAACCACTGTCCTAGGAACACAGTGGACTGCCACTGCCATAGGCCTCAAGCCCCCTAGCCTCACCCAGATACCCACCTGGAGTTTCCTTGTGGGGTTTGACTGAGATCATGGCCTGCAAATGAGTTCTGCAGCACCTGGTTACTGATGAGATTATGGTGACTGCAACTTTGTTTCTACTGCTGATCTTTGGACTGATAGAGGAGAAGGATTAATGGTTAATCCCCAGCAGGAATTTGCTATAAAGGGAAGTCCCAAAGCATTTACCAGCTCTGGTCCTACTTCCTACCAAAAAGGCTCTATGTGGTTTACTGCAGACTGCCTTATTTGTGCTGGCACTCACCTGATGAGTAGGGACTTTTTGCCCCATTTTTTCCCCCAGAAGCTTAAAAAGTTTGGGTCACTTTCCTGAAGTTACATAGGATAGGTAGGGAATGGCAAAGGGAGGCATGGCAATCCCTGGCACTATTTAGTATTAAGTGTGTCTGACCTTTCTACTTGGGAACCCAAGATGTAGAGAAGAGCTGACATTCAGGGGCCTTGCTGCCTAGAATTCCTTGAGAGATCTCAACATCAATCATATAAGTCACAAAGGTAACCTGCAACAAAACATCGTTGCACACATGTAACATAGCCCTCGTCTTGTGCCCTCAGAAAGCTCACACAAGGTACATGAAGATGTTTCTGGCCCCTTCCTGACCTTCAGTCTTCGAATAGAGAGCCAGGAGGCACCATGCTAGGTGATAAGCCTCAAGAAGGCAAAGTCCCCCTTCTAGCCTTAGACACAGATTCACTCCTGAAAGTGAGACAGCAAGCATGAAGCTGGCCAACGTGGTTGGAGGTAGAGGGGCTGTGACATTCAGCAAACAGAGCAGAGCCAGGATCTGAGAAGCAGATAAGCTATCTAACCTCCAGCCCCCTCCAGAAAGGACTTTAGTCTCTGGAGTTGTCAGATCTCCGAGTGGGATAAGAGCTCCCGTAGGTAGGTTGAGAAAGAAAGAAAGAAGACAGAAAACAGCTGCCCGCTCTAGACTAGCACCATGGAGCCAAACGGGTCCCAACTGCGGAGAAGAGAAGGGCTGAGAGAAGAGCAGGAGAAGGGAGCTGGTGGAGAAGGTGAGCCCCTGCCCCGCCCCGCCCCGCCCCGCCCTGCTGGCCTGAGGTGGGTACCTCAGGTTTAGAGTTAGCTGAGCTGCTGAAACACCGTTCCTTGCTCTCCTGGGAAGCCAGAGAAGGCGGTTTCTGCACTGTTCCTCACACCACTCAGACTGGCAATGGAGGAAAGAGATTCAGAGTGTGGCCTTGCCTTCATTAAGGGTGACTCTCGGAGTACTTCCCGGTTTTCTGTGCCCCGTTTCCAGCAATTGCATCAGGCTCTTTCTTGCCAATGGCCTCATTCACAGCACATATCACTCCCCCTTTTAGTGGCTCCACTCACGATTCTAAATATTGATTGGGAACAGAGAGACTGGTGAGCATAAAGAGCATTTTCCAGATCAAGGTCAGCTCTGGCTAGAGCCCTAACTCCTCCCTCTTGGGTGTCCCTTTTGGTTCTTCCTCCTAGGAAACATTAAGGCGCACAGAGCCCCAGACTTGGTGCAATGGACCCGACATGTGGAGGTGAGGGATCACAGAGGGTAGGTCTGGGCTGGGGTGGTAGCTCAGTTGGTAGAGTGCTAACCTATCATAATGAAGACAGGTCTTGGTCCTAGCACCACATAAACCCAATGTGACAGCATACAACTATAATCCCAGTGCTTGGGAAGTAGAGACAGGAGGCTCAGAAGTTTGGGGTCATCTTGAGCTACATGAGACCCTAAGAAATAAAAGGTAAACTCGGTGGTGGTGTCACTCACCTTTAATCCCAGCACTTGGGAGGCAGAAGAAGGCAGATCTCTGAGTTAGAGTTCGAGGCCAGCCTGGTCTATGGAACGAATACAAAGACAGTTGGGTCTATACAGAGAAACCATGTCTCAAAAATAAATAAATAAATAAATAAATAAAATAAAAATTTTTCAAGCTCACAGAATTAAGGTTAACTGGAGAGTAGTGTTGAAACCTAAATCACTAGTTACTGCTTAGCTTTTTTTTGTCTCTAGCAATAATCAGAGATAAAACCTCTCTTTTAACATTAACAGTAGTAGTGGTGTGTGTGTGTGTGTGTGAGAGAGAGAGAGAGAGAGAGAGAGATTTTCAGAAGTCAGTTCTCTCCAATGTGGGTTCAGGATCAAAATTTTTGTATAAATATTTTAAAAACCTCAGTTAAATTTTCTGGTAACATTGTTCAGATAGCGCCAACCTAGATCCTGTCTTCCCCCAATTTAAAATAAATAATCTGTTAGGTTTGTTTACATCCTATAAATTAAAAAGAATCAGGCTAGCAAGGTGGTAGCGGCACATGCTTTAATCTCAACACTCAGGAGGCAGAGGCAGGCAAAACTCTGAGTTCAAGGCCAGCCTGGTTTACAGAGTGAGTTCCAGGACAGCCAGGGCTACACAGAGAAACTCTGTCTCAAAAAACAGAACAAAACAAAACAAAACAACAACAACAACAATACACAGAGAAACTCTGTCTCAAAAAACAGAACAAAACAAAACAAAACAAAACAACAACAACAACAAAAAAACCCAAACACACAAAAAGAGAGGAAAATAAAAGATGGAGTTGTTTAAACATAGGTGTTTGGGTAAGGACCAAGAGTCACTGGTGAAGTCTTACTGTTAGCCTGGGTACAGTTCAGAGGTTAGAGAGTGAGGATTGGAGGTGATTGAGTGACAGCTTCCCTCTTGCTGTCATTTTTTTTTCCTTTGAGATGAATCATTCACTCAAGCTGGAGTAAAATGTGTTACCCTCCTCTGAGTAGCTGGGATTACAGGCATACAGGCATATGTTACCACACTCAGCTTTCCTGAGGTTCTTTGTCCTCACAGCCGCCCCAGGGAGACGGACAGAGGCTGAGGCAGCTCTGGGGCCATGCTTACTTCTTCTTGTTGCTAGCACTTAGCCCTGCATGGTTCAGAGAGAAGCTCAGTAAACTGTTGTAAGAAAGGAATGGCTGACTGGAGGGACAATGGGTTCTAGCCTGGCTGTGTCCTATAGGCTGTGAAGACCCAGTTTCTGGAGCAAGCACAGAGACAGCTGGCAGAGCTGTTGGATCAGGCCATGTGGGAGGCTGTGCAAGCCTACCCCCAACAAGACAGATCCTCTACTGCCCCAAATACCACAAACAAGTGAGTCTGAGGGTCTCACATAGGTGTTCTTCCAGCTGAATGCCTGCCCCTTTGCCAGCCTTGGCGTGCCCCTGGCTTCAGCGTTTTATCTGCTCTCCTGATTGCCTGGTCTCCACAGCACTGGCCTCCATGTTTCAGGTCTTGCTCTGCCCCAACCCTGACCTTCTCCTGCTGCCACCACGGCTTGTTATTACCTTCCACACCCTCCACCCTCTTTCTTTGGGGCCTGGTTCTGAAAACTGTCTCAATCTAGGACCCGGGAGTTACCCCATGTGAAACGGAAAGTTTTCATCTCCCGAAAGTCACTGCTCGAGTAAGTTTGGGGGAGAACGAAGGACAAGAAGAAAAGGTTTGGCTGGGGGTACCATAGACGTCACAGTTCTCATGCATAGGCTTCAGTGGTCTGCAGGGAGGGTCTGGAGGGAGCTCTGCCTCAGTATTAATGGAGGGGGACAAATCAGCAGGCAGAGATGCCCCAGCCTCAGGCTTGCCCTCAGCTGGGAGTTCTGGATTCCTGGGCCCCACACCCCTCACGGGCATACTCCCGAGCTCCTCTGCAGGCTGCTGAAGACCCTTCATCACTGACTCTTGGGCTCCTCCCTTCCAGTGAGCTGATGGAGGTGCAGCACTTCCGAACCATCTACCACATGTTCATCGCGGGTTTATGTGTCTTGATTATCAGTACCCTGGCCATCGACCTCATTGATGAGGGCAGGTAGGCCCCTTCCACAGACACAATGAGCTGATCAGATGCCCGCCCTGCCCGGCCTCCCACAGCTGTTTGAACCTTCTCTCCCTAATCTCGGATGAGTCTCCGTGGTAACTGCTCTCTCTCTTTCTCTCTCTCTCTCTCCTACTCAATTCAGGTAACTTGTATTGACTTTCTACCAAGTACAAGTCCTGGGTCTAGATAAGAGAGGGTGATACCCATTTCCCACCTCTGAGCCACTTCCCATCTCTCAGAGGGGATCAACAGACACAGTCCTCAGAGGAATAGCCTCCCTTGGAGGTCTGTATTTTGGTGTTCCCAATCTAGCCCAAAGACAGGTTCAAGAAGTTGTAAATGGGAGAGGATGAGGGGCCTACAGGTTCAGCATGCTACAGCACTTCCCTCTAGTAAAATGTCTATTATTAATTATGAGTAATATACACTTTTAATCCAAGCAGTCAGGAGGCTGAGGCACGTGAATCTCCATGAGTTTAAGGCCATCTTGGTCTACATAGAAAGTTCCAGGCCATCTGGGGCTATATAACACAAGAAACAAATGAAAGAAAAATAAAAAGAATACGACCATTATTATAGGGATCAAATCTCAGTAAAATGTCAAATCAGGCTGAAGGTAGTTTGTTTTTTCTTGCTCAAGACAGGGTTTCTCTGTGTAGCCCTGGCTATCTTGGAACTGGCTCTGGAGACTAGACTAGCCACATACTCAGAGATCTACCTGCTTCTGTCTTCTGAGTGCTGGGATTA